GGAGATTGGAACGTCTCCCTGCAATCGGCTCATCGTGGTGACTTCATCGATCTTGCGCTACCTCGCCATCAGGGCGCATGCCAGGTAGGTGCTGCTCTTGGGATCTCCTTTAATGAGCTGGGAGTCCTGCGTTGAACCACAGTGAGACGATGAGGACGAGGGCGAGGACGAGGACGAGGACGAGGACGAGGACGAGGACGAGGACGAGGACGAGGACGAGGACGAGGACGAGGACGAGGATGAGGATGAGGATGAGGATGAGGATGAGGAGGAGGAAGGAGGATCGAACTTTGTGGAAAGCTTCGCTGAACATGGCATCGACGCTGTAAGGTGACCCGTCTGCTCCACGTGAGAGTTTTCCGCATAAGGGGCTGACCTGCTCTAGGATCACAAGTGAAGGAGGAGGAGCAGCAGCAGCAGCAGCAGCAGCAGCAGCAGCAGCAGCAGCAGCAGCAGCAGCAGCAGCAGCAGCAGCAGCAGCAGCAGCAGCAGCAGCAGCAGCAGCAGCAGCAGCAGCAGCAGCAGCAGCAGCAGCAGCAGCAGCAGCAGCAGCAGCAGCAGCAGCAGCAGCAGCAGCAGCAGCAGCAGCAGCAGCAGCAGGCGGAGGAGAAAGAATTCTCACAGAAGAAACGAGAAACTTGAGACGGGGGAAGGGAACCTGAAGGCAAGAACGAAAGTGAGGAAACTACCCTCCCTGCCTCCCTCCTGCCTGCCTCCCTCCCTCCTGCCCTCCCTGCCTCCTCCCTCCCTCCATTTTCCACCACCTCCTCCAACTCCTCGTGCCTCCTCCCTTATATCGTCTCTTCCGATCTGCTCCTGCTCCTGCTCCTGCTCCTGCTCCTGCTCCTGCTCCTGCTCCTGCTCCTGCTCCTCATGCTCTTTCTCCCCTTGCTTCTCCTCCTCCTCTTGCACCATGTTCATCGTGATCTCGTTCAGATCGACATTCAAAGAGCCTTCGAACCTCATCGACCTGTCAGCCTTGCCGTCAGGACGCAGAAGGAGGAGGAGGAGACAATGGTCGCACGCTGTAAGATTGGTGAGCATGTTTGCTGCAATGTTGTTCATCTCATCAAAACTTCTCGCCTTCCCCATAGTCCCTGCTACCACATCACGACAAGAGACTCGAGTCTTACTCAGTTTGTTCACCTCCTGATGTTATAGCGCCTGTTTCCCCCATCTTCACTTTTGCAGCTGGCAACGCACAACCGTGAACAAACTTGACGCAAATCGACATTGTCACGAGATTTTCCCGTACATGTTGATGACTGTTTGTACTTCTCCAATCGCTGAGACACCTTTTCATGAATGTCCACAAGAGCCTGTTAACACAACTCCTTCACGACTTCAAACTTCCAACCCTCCCATGACCTTACTTGATTCTCTATCGGTAGAACACAGTCCGCATGATCAGAGAGCTGAATTGCAACATAAGAACATCCGCAAAGAGGCTCTGAAGTGAATGGGCAAGATCATATTCAAAACAACCTTCTTGAGGGCCAGCGCTGAGTTGTATGGAGATGTCACCTGTGACAAGGCTCAGGCAACTGTCACCATGACGAACACAGATGTTGTCTTGCAATCATTCTCACCACATCATCGTCCTCACTGGGAAACACCGATGCTGTAAACCTGTAGAGGCAAGTCAGCTAGACCATTGTAGAACTTCCCTGCTGTTCAAACACCTGTAAACTTCCGGATAGTAATCCGACAGGAGCGACAGCACGTATGTACCCAGCCCAGACCCTGTTCCTCCACCTAGTGGCGTTGATTCACATCAGAAGCGGGAGAACAAACAGGTCTTGATAGCACCCAAAGAGTGAAGCACAAAGAAAGACTGTGCCAACAGAACAAGTCTCCTTCAGTCTCCCCGAGTCTTGCACAGGCACAACACCTGGAGGGAGTCGCAATGCTCTACAGTCTGTCGAACACACTCTGCTATCGACTCCCTGCCATTTCTCATCAGAAATTCTTCTTCTCCTTCACATCTCACCGATATTTTGGTCCATACTCCATGTGTCCTTGTGCCCAATTATTCCCTGCGCCGTACTGTGTACGAAGATTAGCCAGATGAAGGAAGTTGATAAGGTGGAGAAGAGCAGCAGCAGCCGCCGCAGCAGATGAAGATCAAGCAGGAGAAAACTCAGAGCAGGGGCAGGAAACGTGGGAGAAGGAGCAGAAATGGCAGGAGCAGCAGACAAAGGGAAGGTTAGGAGAAGGAGCAGGAGGAGCAGGAGCTAGGAGGCGCGAGGGTTGCCTGGTCTGAGATGAGTTGCCGTGAGTCAAAAAGTTCTCTGAGAGGTCCTGAAAGCATCATCAGATGAGAAAGAAGAGGAGGAGCAGGAGCAACGAGAGCAGGAGCAGGAGCAGGAGCAGGAGCAGGAGCAGGAGCTGGAGGAGCAAGCATCCTAAAAGCGCCTGTTCACCTGACTGTATCGAGTTGAGAACGCCCGTCTCGGTGTCTATCAGCACCGCCCGGGCCTGTTACGACATGTTCCGTCATGGTCGAGGTTGAGGGGTAGGACGTCAGTAGACCCGTAGTGATGTGATGGGTGAGCCGACAGGAAGGTTCCTGCATAGCAGTCAGGGCGATGGTGCTGTCGCAGGGAGCGGAAACCTCTGCGACCGGTCGACATTGCGGAAGAAGGAGGAGAGGGATTCATCAAAGACGGGATTCTTGGAGCTAGAGACCGAGGCATGCTCTCTCAGAGCTATGTCCCAGAATCTGTGAGCAGGATGTAACGATGTACAACATCATGGGAAGGACGAGAGGAAACGACAATATCACCTGCAGCCAATCTGATTCCCACATTGCCCAACCTGCGTCCATCTTGTTAGGAGAAACAGGGTCGGGGCATCCAAAACAAGCCTCAAGGGATCACCTGAACTGTTATCAATTCTCTCGGCATTTTCGCTCTAGCTCTGATCCAACGAATCTCCTCTCTCCTCTATTTTACTCGTGCCACCAACCTGGTTTTCTCTGCTGCAAGTTCGACCGAGATGTCACATTCGAACGTCTTTCAACGTGTGGCATGCGGTAGAGACTCACACTCCTTCTCTTAGAGCGATGATGCTGCATGCTTCTTCAAGTGTCGCCATGAGATCCTCTCCTCATCCCCGCGTGCACTCACGTGAAGAACCGCTCCCTGCCTTCGCCATGCCTGAATGTGCGGGCCAACCCTTCCGTCGGGGACCAGAACCGACCACGGGTACTTCTGATAGCGAAAAGAAGGGTCCATAGAATTTTGGTAGAAAGGTGGGGATTTTTGGTGGTAACGGTAATAACGATTGAAATAACGGTAATAACGATCCAGTAACGTCGCTGGATGATTTTTGTAACCACCACGTCGCCTCCGAAGAGACAGCGACAGGAATGCAGCGGCAGGTGGCGATAGCGGTCGCGGCCACCGCCATGGCTGCGCTCTTGGCTCTTGTAGCTGTCAATGAGAGAGGAAGGAGAAGTCCATCCGCCCTTCTTGCGGCAAGGAAGTCCGGCCTCTATGGATACTATCCTTCCGGATATGATTATCAGTACCCTCCCTACGGTCAACTATCCCACCGTGAAAGGCTGATAGATTGACATGATGGTTTGTACAGGCGGATATCCTGGAGGATATCCTTACGGGTACCCGTACAGCCCGTACAATCCCTACTACTCCTCCTACTATGCAGATGGTGCAGTTCAAACGCCGTCGGGTGATATGTTTGACCGTGGTTCCAGGGGACCCCTATGGTTACTACAACGGCTATCAGTATGGTCGGTTGCTATTGGCTCCTATTTGCTTCTCTGACTGTTTGCAATGCAGAGTATCCCTACGGCTATGATCAGTATGCGTATGACAACGCATATCAGCAGTACATGGCTAACGAGCAGCAGAGGTACTGATGAGGCAGTTCACAGCGCTTCCTTGATGTGATCTTCAGGCAATGGCAAGAATATGCAGCCCGCCAATATTACGATGATTATGCTCGATATTATGCGGACTATCCCTACAGCGACTACGATGACTACTACGATCGCATGAGGGAATGGTACGAGCAAGTTGCCGCCAACGCGTCCTCAACCAAGAAGCTGTACGGGAGGGATATTCTCAAAGTTGCAAAGAACACTCCCAAGGTGAGAACGCCGAGATCTTGCTGCTCCGATCCATGTGTTGGTGTGCTGTGAGGCGTCTGACTGACTGTCGTTGCCAGCTGGTGTACCTCGGAGACCTGGAGTTTGGGGGATACCGCAAGGATATCACGGGGGGCAACGACGGAGGATTTAACGCACCTTTCGACTTGAACGGTTTGGAACTGATTGCTTCCCTTCTCGATTGTGACTTGAGACTGGTCAAGGTGACGGCCAGGAGGTCGACAACTGGGCAAAGGTCACTACCCAGTGGAAGCACAAGAAGGGTCAGCAGCGCCTGAAGCAGGCTCGCATTCAAGCGCTGACCTCTCCCACCGCTCCTGCTGAACCCGGTAATAAGAAAGTTCACAAGTAGACTCGTAACAGAAGCTGAAATCATTCGAAAGCATGATTGGTCTGTAGTAGTGTGTTGAGGTTGGTAATACATTAGACATACGCCCACTTGAATGCCCACAACACATACAAGAACATCTCTGTTTGTTGCTGTTACAAGATTGATGTGGGAACAGGGCCCTTCGCTTCCTGGTCTGCAGACTACAATCCTCTCGGAGAAACCTCTGACAAGATCCCCTCCAACGCAACTGGGGCAGAAGATACATCGCCTGAAGAACTGGTTTGGAAACATGGATTCGGGTGAGTTAGGATACTCATAGCCTTGAAAGCTCCCAAGCATGTACTGATACCCGAATGCACCAGGTGGTTGAGTAACCCACCCATTGTGAAGTAGATCATACGAATAGTAACCCACCCATTGTGAAGTAGATCATACGAATACACGAATAAACAAGATTTCCTTGTCAACATCGGTGTTGCGTGCGTTGACGGCAACGATGACGAGCTTACGAGATGAAGGCGAACAAGACGAACAAGATCAGAAGTTCAACGGATTGTCATGTTGTCTTCATGACATCTACCTGACCGTTCATTCAACATCTAAAACATCAGACTCGAAAGATTGGCTGTATATAAAGAGGGCCCTTGAACTCCACCCCTCATTTGACCTATTACCACCCCATCATATCCCATACCCCATCGGGTCTTGTATGCCATGGCAAAGGGAACCGGCATGGAAATGACAAGTGTGGAGGGGAGTGGGGCAGTGGGAGGAGGAGCAGGAGCAGCAGGAGCAGCAGGAGCAGCAGGAGCAGCAGGAGCAGCAGGAGCAGCAGGAGCAGCAGGAGCGGGAGCAGGAGCAGGAGCAGGAGCAGGAGCGAGTGAAGAGGTGGGCTATGGGATGGGAGAGCTGTTGGTGGAGGTCGTCGTTCTCCTCCTCAAGGGGTTTCTAGTCTCGGTGGATCTTCTCCTGCTGGCAGTGCAGCCAGTGATGCAGAAGCTGGGAGACCTGCGAAGATCATGGGGAGTAAGAAACATTCTGCACCTGAAGAAGGAGGAGAAGAAGAAGAAGAAGGTTGTGGTGATCGGAGCTTCGTTCGCAGGGCTGGAGGTACGCATGGAACCTGTTGGTACCTTCCTCACTGTTCCGCAGGCGTCTCGACACCTTTCAAAGCATGCGGAGGTGACGATAATCGAAGAGCGATCGTTCTTCGAGTACACACCTGGAGTCCTGAGATGCTTCGTTGACCCGCAACACTTCTACTCCCTCGCTTGCTCCCTACACCTCCCCCCTTGCCAAATCGTCACAGGTCATGTGACTGACGTACAAGCGAAGCAGGTCAGTTCATCATTTGCATAAGCTCGGCGATCTCAGACAAGTTTGCAGGTCGTAGTTGAGTTTGATCATGGCGGCGAGAAACAAGTCAGAGAGATTCCCTTCGATTATTGTCTGCTAGCCATGGGCTCCTCGTACAACGGAGCGATTAGGCCTAGGAGGGAGGAAAAGACCATGTCCTGCCGAGCGATGACGTGGATGGTAAGATCAGAGGGAGGTGGGAGGGAGGATCCAGTTACGTTGCGATCGATGCTGTCGCAGCATGAGAACAGCAAGCTTCAACAAGCTCCTTCTGCTCTCGTCGTTGGCGCTGGTCTGGTTGGCGTCGAGCTCGCGGCGGAGATCATTGCTGTGTATCCGAGCAAGAGAGTGACGCTGGTGTATGGCACGCAAGTATGACGCACTGAGAGGAAGGGGGAGGAGGAGGTAGCGGTCAGGTAGGAAGGGATGTGTGAAAGAGAACAAGGACAAGGACAAGGACAAGGACGTTAGAAAGGATCAGGAGCAGGAGCAGGAGCAAGAGGGCCGACTCGGCGGCGGGGGGGGGGAGGGGAGGAGGAGAATCATGAAAACAGGATGATGCGATGTCTTGGATATTCAGGACGTATGCAAAGAGCTCCCGCCACCAGCACGGGCGTACATCAGGACCTGGTTGAAAGAAAGAGGTGACTGACTAGAGGAATCGATTCCATCGCTAACATGAGAATGCACAAGGTGTTATCATCAAGTCGGATAGAAGGGTGTCAGATTTCAGAGGAGATGTACAACCCTCCCTCCCTCCCTCCCTCCCTCCCTCGCTCGAGCTCTTGATAAATCCAGTACGTTCTGTTAGTTAGGGTACTTGCTCTTCCTTCAGATTTTATTTTCCTAACATTATTGATGTTTTGCGCAAC